GATGGGTTCCACGGCGCGGCCGGGCAACCGTGCCACCGCTGGCTTGGCTAATGGAAGCCGGCCGGTGGGCTGTAGCTATCGCCATTGCTGCCGTGCCGTCCCTCCCTCTTCTAAGCTCCCAAGTCCGAGCCAACGCCGCCTCCAATACAAGCCCACCCAGCAGGAAATCTCAGCCCCACCAGCCACAATGGGAGAAGTGGTGGTGCCGGCGCCGAGGCCGCGCAAGGGGGTGGCGTCCTGGGCGCTGGACATGCTCGAGCGGCTCGTGGTCCGCCTCGGCCACGACAAGAAGGCCGAGCCGAACCCCTGGCTCTCCGGCAACTTCGCCCCGGTGCTCCACGAGACCCCTCCCACAGCCGGCCTCCCCGTCCGCGGACACCTCCCGGTCAGCGTTCCTCTCTCTTCATTCTTTCAAAAATATTTTCTTTTCTCTAGAGGAAGTTCCCGTTTTCTCCAGCATTTTGTAAGAATGGCCTCTATGCTAATTTGCTCAAAATTTTCTTCGAGCAACTGGTAGTTCAACTTCAAGAAGAAGTTCCCTTTTTCTCATGATGCCAAGCATGCAGCTCACCAGATCCTTTCTTTCCCTCATGATGTCCTTTTCTTACGGTCGGGGCTAATCCAAAGTTTGACCCGGTTGCAGGGTACCATTGGTACTGACTCTTACTTGTTGACAATTTTACATTCGTCTTAAAAGGCATTATTCCCTTCTTTGCTTCCAACAGTTGAGGGTGACATTTATAATTCATTTATTGTTCTGTGTTTTTTTCCCTACAGGTTTGATGGGGATGGGTAGGTGATACAGTCTCTTCTCTCTGGAGTGCTGTAGATCTAGCTGTACTGGTTGCGTGCACATTCAGTTTTTCCTGATTTTTTTTTGCGAATTCAGTTTTTCCTGTTTACAATACAGTTCCATGGCTCGCGATCTTTTGATAAAGAAAAGCTTTGGTCTTTGTCTCAAACTTTTGCTTGGTGGTTACATGGACTTCCACGTTCTTTCTTATAGAATGATCCATGCATTGCACATTAAAGATGGGAAGCCTACATATGTATCAAGATACGTGAAGACTTCTCGCTTCAAGCAAGAAGAGTATTTTGGTGGAGCAAAGTTTATGAAGGTAAGCTTATTTGGTTGACTAAAAACCAGAATATTCTTAACTTATTGATGCTTGCAACCCTTTTTGTACTCTCTTAAGTAAGACTAGCACAGATATGCCTGTGAGTTACGTGAGGTGTAAAATAGAGAGGTGGGACTAATTTAATATGCGAATCAGAGGTTGCTTGTACACACATGACGAGCCAGGCCGATGGAACAACTTTTTTTTTCTTTGGCCTCCTACAGCCAGGCTGCTAGAAACCTTAAATGGGCCAGAATATGCGGGCCAATAATTTGCCCAAAAATTAGTACCACCTCGGATAGTAAAAATCTTTAAAAAAAACTCGGATAGTACAAAATCTTAAAAAAAATGGATGAATGGATGAAAAAAATCGGAGAAAAGCACCTCGCTTTATTAGTAAGTGGTTATAGAGATATCGGAAACTCACTTTGGCACATGGGAGAATTTGCTCCTGCCATTGAAAAATATATTTCAAAATGTCAAAAAATCCCGAACACAAATTTGACGCGTACATCTCATCATTGTATGTCCGCACGTCAAGCTTTGTGAAAATCCGACATTTTATACGTGTTGTGTAAAAAATACAAAAAAAATGTCTGATGAAAAGCCTATCTTAACACTAAAATTTGTCTTTTTTACATAGGATACAACAGTTGTCGGTTTTCCGCGAAACGAGTTTGTATGCATGTAGAATGTCGAGATGTACACGGGAATCATTTTGTCAGAATTTTGTGACATTTCAAAATATATTCAGAACACAATTTAAAAACCAGGAGCATATGCTCCCATGTGCCGAAAGGCCTCTCTCGATAGATGTAGATTATAATACATAGCATACATAATTATAACTTAATCAACCATTTTTTGCTTGGATTTAGTAATGGCTATATATGAAGTCAGTTGTGCGCATGTGTGAGTTTTCCCCTCAATATTCATAGGTTGGAGATCTAAAGGGCCTTTTTGGATTGTTTATGGTCTTAACGCAAGAACTTAGGAAGAAACTTAAAGTCTTGGATGCTACTTATGGAATTGGACCAGGTACTTCTTTACTTTAAGTAGTCACTACATGATGTATATCTACATATTTTTCATGTCCATTTTTATTTTAATGGCAATTTATCGATACACTCCCTTCTTTTCCAGCTAATACTTCATTTATATATCATCATGGCAAACTCATGGCCCTCTCAAAATCAGATAAACCTTGTAAGTTATCATTCTGTTAGCACAATTTCTGTCTATACTAGATCACGTCCCACAAGTTGATGTGGGCATAACAATCCTATACACTCGGCATGATAAAGAGCACATAGCAAATGTGGAGCATGAGTTTCTACTTTTGTTTTCAGATGTTGTTAAGATCCTTGAAGATGGAGACCTGCAAACTCTTGGGTTGTTGGATTATGACCAAAGGTTGAAACATCCTTTCACCGCTCATCCAAAGGTTGATCCATTTACAGGTACATTACAGTGAAAACCTATTATTTCTTACTTCCATTCAGGAATATTGGGTTAAATGATCTAGTTTTTATCCTTCTTTCAGATGAAATGTTCACCTTTGGGTACTCGCATGAATCGCCTTATTGTACATATCGAGTCATCACCAAGGATGGAGTTATGCTTGATCCAGTGCCAATAACAATACCGGAATCTGTAATGATGCATGACTTTGCCATTACAGCAAACTATTCCATATTTATGGACTTGCCAATGTTTTTTCGACCAAAGGTACATGATGATATATATATAATGGTAAATAACATCAATAAGAAATATCTTCCATAGATTTTTGCCCTGTACCATTTCTTTTCATCATGTTGAAGGATGCCACAGTCAATACTTGCTTCACATTTGCATGGGATTAACATATGTTTGCAAGAAAAAAATGATAATTGGTTAATACTCCTCTTCATATTCTGGTCTTATTGTACCCTCTTGTGTTCTTGTATAAAGGAAATGGTGAAGAATGATGAATTTATCTACAAGTTTGATCCTGCAAAGAAAGCTCGTTTTGGTATACTACAACGCTATGAGGACGAGAAAAACATCAAATGGTTTGAACTCCCCAATTGCTCCATATTCCACAATGGTATCTTATCTCCAACATTTTTCTTGAACTCCGAATATGCAATCTTTCTATACAATTTTTCATTAATTAAACATAGCTAGGGAAAGGATGAATATAAAAATGTAAATGCAATTTCTTTAATGTCCCAACAATGTGGTTTGGTATCTTAGCATAAGTATGAACTAAATATGAAATGAGCATGTTCAAGAGGCTGAATTAAGTGCAACATCAGTTCCTTGAGCGATTTTTAGCACTGTGCATACAAAACCAAAAATATAAATACGATAATTTTGCGGATATCTAATTATGAAAAATCCACTTGACAACAATTATATGACAATATGAATAAGAGAGCCAAACCATCTTGCTTTTTTGCCAGAGTACATATTTCCAATTAATGCATTGCACTAATTATCACTAATTTCAATTCCATGTTAATCTTATTGTACTGAACACAAGAAGCATCTCTTCTTGCAGCCAATGCGTGGGAAGAAGGCAACGAAGTTATTCTGATTACCTGCCGTCACAACAACGTAGATTTGGACCAGGTCAATGGTAACCAACGCGACAAGCTTGAGGACCGCGGGAATAAGTTGTATGCATACTCACAATATCGACCTTTTATTTTAATCACATGCAACCGAATGCTTGCCCTAATTGTATATCTTGCAGGTACGAGATGAGATTCAACATGAAAACTGGTGCTGCTTCGCAAAAGCAACTGTCTGTCTCTGCCATTGACTTTCCTCGAATCAATGAGAGTTATACTGGCAGGTACTTATACTGGAGGTATCACTTCAGAGTTTGTTTTCTTCTATGATGCATATACCTTTAAAAACTATTAACACGTGACAAAACTTAAATTTCAAAGTAACATTCCTTATGGGAACTACCAAACTTGCTCTCATACGTTACTTTGTTGAACGCAGAAAGCAGCGGTACATCTACTGCATGATACTTGAGAGCACAGTCAAGGTGACTGGCATCTTAAAAATGACCGGCATCATAAAATTTGATCTACATGCCAAGCCAGAGAGAAGCAAGGAGCATCTAGAAGTTGGGGGAAATGTGACGGGCATATATGACCTGGCACCCGGTACATTTTGTTCAGAGGCAGTCTTTGTGCCCAAGGAGCACGGTGTTTCCGGTGAAGGAGACGATGGGTACTTGATATTCTTTGTTTACGATGAAAACACAGGGTACTCCTTTCATTTCCTACATCACTAAGGGGAGATGATGTTGCTACATGGATGTAGGAAACCTAAAGTTAATTTGATTAATTTTGTTGTTCTTTTGTGATTACTGTGGATGTAGGAAATCTGAAGTAAATGTTATTGAGGCCAAGACGATGTCTGCTGATCCAGTGGCAGTTGTTGAGCTGCCAAGCCGGGTACCTTACGGATTCCACGCCTTCTTTGTCAATGAGGTACTTTACATCATTAAATATGTTTCCTTATTTTATTTCATGATTATGTCATCATCAGGAGATATAATGTATTTGCAATTGGCAGCTCCTTTTGGTTGATGAAAAAATAAATAATGTTTGTATTCTTTTGACAGGAACAACTAGGACATCAAGTAGAGTGGTGAAGAGTGATAAAAAGGAAGCATTACACGAATATATATATTTTTAATGGGGTGTGTGATGTAGTATCCTTTTGTGTGCCATACTGGTAGGTTGTGAAGGGTTTCTGTTAGTTTTTCGCAAGTTAAATTGGCAAATATCTTCTTCTTAATTATTGAGAATGGCAAGTATTTTGCCTTGTTTAAAAATATACAAAGGAAAGTAGCATGTTGAATAAGCTGTGTAAATAAACGAAAGTAGCATTACTATACATATATGCATAGGAGTAATTAGTAGTCAAATCTTTGTATAGTGATTGAATAAACTGACACAAAAAACGAGCTAGTAAATTTGACATTAAATTCTGATAAACCTGGATGGATCATACTATAGATGGGCCTTGCATGGGGACTCCCTTTGTCTTGGGATCCCTTTCATATTTGAAAAAAAGAACCCAGTAGCCATGGCTGGAGATTTCATTAGTAGAGAGTAATATATGTACACAATCTTCAACTACACAGTACGCTGCATGGGTATAAGGTTTATTTAGATGTTTTCTTGTGTGGAATCATTCAGATTGCTCCGGTCCCAATCTACTCGCAAGGGTATTGCAAAAGATCTTGGCAACACTGTGCATTAGGCTAGTTGGCTTATAACTAGAGGTCGTCCGTGCAACTTCTTTGTTTGGAATTAAAATTGAGCCCCACTTCAATACAACCCCCCTCACTAAACGTATAAAGAGCAATATGGAGATTTAGCAAATCGTAGCCACTTTCGTATGTATGGCAGGTCGCCTTTCGCAACGTATAAGCCGTACATTAGACCCACTTCCGTACTGGGCTCGTGTAGTTGATATGCCCTAGAGGCAATAATAAATGTTGTTGATTATCTCCTTGTTCATAATTATGTTTATGTTCCATGCTATAACTGCTATGGTTCTCGAGTCTACAATAACACGAGGCTCGAAGGAAGACTCATATGCACGTGTGGAATAATAAACGGTAAGAAGTATTCCTAGTCTGGCTTCTAAGACTAGCTCAAGTGTTGCATGATGGTTCTATTTTCCTGATCATGGGCATGACTATGATGGCAACTTTGAGGGCACTACGTTAGGAGAGCACTTGTGTTGAATCGACCCGATTGATGTTATGCTATGCGATACATTCGTTACAAGTTAATGGTTTATAACACAGAAAAAGTTTACATTTGCATAATTCCTTAGACCATGAGAGTATCAAGTTTCTTCATGCTTGCTTCATGAACTTTGGGGTTTGTTAAACGTCATCCGTAATTGGGTGGCTATTACGGAGGCTTACGGAGGCTTACGGCTTCATGGAAAAGTATGTCAAGTAACTTGATAGCCATTTTCTCCTCCGACGATGGAGAGATATCTCTGGGCCCTCTCGGTGTTATGTTATCCATCATCGTCTGGCCAGGCATAGTGTGATTTGATCACAGAGATGCCAGAGCACGAAAATGAGAAAAGAGAACAAAACCGGTAACGAGGTAACTAGCATAGTGAACAAGTTGTTGATCCACGGGGATGCAAGTAAATCTCACCTCGGGTATTTGTAACATATCGTGAAGCAACAGGAATAACACACAACAACTTGTGATTCACTCGAATATTCATTCGTGTGGGTATAGGGGTTAATATGGGTGTCCACGACTCCGATGTTGATCGTTGATCGGAAAGAGTTCCGGCCATGTCTATACATCGCTGAACCTATAGGGTCACACGCTTAAGGGTCATCTATTTGCTGAATACTAGACACGAAGTCTGAGAGAAATTCACCGAAAAAGTTTCGGACACACCAGAAAGGTTCCGGAGAGAGAACACCGGAATAGTTTCAGTAAAACTGAAAAGTTGTTTCGGGGTATTCCATTAAGTCAAATTGGTTTCGGGACATGCCTGATAATTCTTGGAGGGTGCCAGAATTATTCTAGAAACTTTTGGGAATTTTCCGGGATAAAAATCGGAAATGTTCCGAAGCTGCCGAAACCACTTCAGATGCTTTTCGCAGATAAAAATCACTAATCCGGAATTGTTCTGGAATGCGTTGAAAATTATTTTAGGGGGTACTGGAAATAGTCTAAGCCCACCTAATTATTTTTAGCTTGAACGGACGCTGAAAATTGTCGTCATGAATAGTGAAAGTGATTTTTGGAAATTTTTATGGAAAGCCACCTTTTAGGGCTTTTCCCAAAAGGTTTATAGAAGGACTTGGGGATTAAGGAACCCCCTTTGGGGGCCCCCATGAAGGTGGGACATACAAAGGTGCAGCTCCTCCATGGAGCTCCACTTTTCATCCCTTTATACCCTTTATGTGTGACATAAAGTGTGGGCATTTAGGGGTTTTCATGTTTCCCCTTACCCCATGGGTTTTCCTATAAATAGAGGTGGAGAGGCACTCTCCACACACACTCTTTTTCACATACAAGTGCCATACAATGATCTATCTTCTCTCTCCCTCCCCGTGAAATAGTTTCGTAGAGCCGAAAGGCTGTCTGGGTTCCTGTGCGAACTAGTTCTGGACGGCAAAGCCCTGCCAGATGGATGACACCGTATGTGTGCAAATCTATAGAGAGATCATAGTTTCGGTCTTAGTTTGAGAGTGTCTCCCGAAGGGCTATTCAACTGATCATCCGAGTTTCGAAGGTCCTCCTAAAGGGTTGTCCGCGACACCGTCTGAGGGATTGTCCGACCGCTTCCCGGAGGGCTATCCGATGGGAAAAATAAGGGTATACATCACTACTAGGGAAAACCCTAGCAGTAGCGCGGGTATTTTGCCTATCAGTAGTGCGGGACGACGCGCTACTAATAAGGCACTACAGCTAACGTGTAGTAGTAGTGCCTGTCGTCCCACGCTACTGCTATACATGGCTAGCAGTAGCGCGCTTTAGTGAAGAGCGCCGCTGCTAATATCTGCAGCGCTTTTTAGCAGGAAGCGCTACTGGTAAGGCAGCACTACTGCTAACTTTGTTCCCCTGGGTACTACTAGTTTTATTAGTTTTTTTCTGCATATTTGTTTTGTATTTGAATAGGCTTTATACAATAATCTTTAGCATATCATACACATACAAATGTAATCATATCATATACATACAAATAGTCTCATCAAATCATGTCATCATCATAATCATCATCCAACACAAAGTGGTCTCTCGTCATCATCTCGAAAATAGCGATACAAGTCTCGATTACTTGCAACTACATCGTCATCCATCTAAACAATGATATATGCGAGAAGAGCTATCACTTTGAGTGAGAGCAAAACTATGCAGTACAGGAGTTCATATCCCTCTCTCGTATTAGCATGAACCTAAACTAACTACTGGCTGTCGCTCAAAAACTGGAAACTGGTACACCTGGGCCTGACATTCCAGCCACTCGTCGTATACTCCTGGCATAGCACTTCTTCATTGCTAGGTCCTTATCTGGATCTTTATAATCCTTTTCATTCTGACCCGGGAACAAGAATATCTGGTGCAGCTTCTTTAGGAGGAAGGGCCTCATATTATCTATCTTCTGTAGTTTCTCATCGTTGATGGTGGAGGTTATCCGTACGATGCAACCTATTTAATTGCCATAGCACGCGCGCGCTTCCTCGAGCGCGTTTGGCTCAACATTGCCATCGTCCACCTCCGTGACCACTAGTCTAGTAGTCCTGAGTTTGTTAGGAAGCCGTTGCCTTTGCTTTCAGTTCTACACCGGCTCCGCTCCCCGAGGTAGCACCGGTCTCAGTCTTAGCGCCGGTCTCGACGCCAGTCTGAGTTTCAGCGCCGGTCTCAGTCTCAGCACCGGTCTGCATGTCGGTCTCAGTCCCCGATGCGACCGGTGGGCCCGACAACAACATCGGTTGATCGTCGGCAAGGCTCAAAAATTTGTCTGCCGTCAGGTAGACGTCGTCGCAATCACCAGAACCCTGTCCTTCATCGTTGCTAGCCCTGTTTCCTACTATTAAATCTAGTCAATTAATTCTAGACCTAATAAAATGAATAATGACATAAAAAGGCCTATGTTTTGCAGAAACGTTGACTCCTTCCCGGTGCGGCAAATCCCGGGTCCTCGATATGTCCTAGTTTGTAGCACAAGTCATGCCGAAATTCACGGAAAATTTCAGCATGACCTTTGCTAAAAAGTGGCCAAATCGAGAACCTGAAATTTTCCGGAACAGAAATGAATCAACATTCCGGCAAAACATAGGCCACTCAGCTTCATTCCCTGGAAACAGTGTTCAAATATCCATCTTCGACACCGCAACACATGTCCAAATATACACGAGCAACCACATGTCCAAATATACATGTCCAAATTTCACAAGCTAATTCAAAAACAAAGTGTAGAAGAAAATTCATTTAACTACTAAATGAACAAAATTCAGTTAACTTTAGTGCTCTATAATGATGAAAGGAAAAATATCAGTTAACTACTAATTTCATTCATTTAGGTTATTCATTTAACTTCACCTAATTAACCTACTGTACCACTACTACTAGCAGCACTACTAACCTAATTAACCTAGCAAAACTCTACTGCCCTAACTAAAAAACATCTAATTAACATCTACTAGTACCACTACTGCCCTAACCTAATTAACATCTACTAGTATCACTATATACTACAAGCAGCATCTACCCTAATTAAACCCTACTGCCCTAACTAACTTTTGTTGTAAACCAATTTTTTTGCTCTAAACTAATTTTTGCTCTAACATCTACTACTTAACATCTTTTGCCCTAAACAAATTTTTTCGCTATAAACTAACTTTTGCTCTACTAATTTTTGCTCTAAAAAGCAAAGAGAGAGGAGTGGGGGGAGGGGTGGGGGACTTACACAGAGGGGAGAGACGGTGGCGGGGAGGTGCTTGACGACGGAGGAAGGGGCGGAGAGGGCGGGCTCGGGCACGGGCAGCGGCGGTCCTGGGCGGGCTCGGGCGGTGGTGAGGTCGAGGGCGGCGATGGTGAGGTCGAGGGCGGTGAAGGTGAGGTCGAGGGCAGCCTCGAGCGGTGGCGGTGAGGCTGA